TTTTCTTCTCCTTTTCCATTTACCTTAGAAATTTGGCTTGATTCTGATTGTAATTGTAATTTTTCTAACGCTCCTCAATAAACTAACTCAAAATCTTTTTTTTTTTTCTTTTTTTTCTTTTTTTAATAAGGATAGTTTAATCCGCTACTGTGTTAACCGGGAGTTGACTCTAGTCAGTTAGTTGTCGTAGGAGTTGACTCTACTCTAGTCTTGTCAGTTAGTTTTCTATATAATTTGTTTCATTTTTTTCCCGCTTACTATGAAAAGATAAATTTTTACTTACAAACTGTTTTCCAATGTATGAAATTTTGACCTCCAGCAGACTTTCGAGTTCACTTTTTGGTCATGTATTATTATTCAGTATATAAATTTCAGATAGTTTGGGAGAGGGGATTTCAGTGCTAACAAGGATGAAACAGAGAGGGGAGAGTTTATGTTGTAAGGTATTTCTCCCGCCTTCCTAGCGCGTCTTCGTGGTGTAGTGGTTCTGCATGGGCTGGTATTCCAGAGGTCAGTGGTTCGATTCCCGGCGAAGGCGTTTGCTATTTTTCATCTCTCGCTTCCAAAAAAGTACCTAATGTCTCTACAGTGTTTCCACGCCCAGGAGATTTGGCGATTGGTTCCCCTAAAAAGCCCAGTCGCCCTTTAAAAAGGGGAGTATATAAGGTATTTCTCCCGCTTTCCTAGCGTGCCTTCGTGGTGTAGTGGTCAGCACACTGAGCCGGTATTTCAGAGGTCCGTAGTTCGATTCCCGGCGAAGGTGTTGCTAATTTTTCATATTGCCTGCTTCAAAAAAAATAATAAAATAAAATAAACATAATGTCTCTACAATGTAGCACATCTTTACTTTGGTGACTTATAATTATCCCCATTAATTCAATATCTGCCCTTTTTATTTGATGTTTTTAGAGAAAAAGTAAGAAGAAACACACGCTACTTCTCCACAGAGAAAATACAATTCTAAGGAAATTTTAGAATATATTTAAAGAAAAAAGTAATATGAATTATTAAAGTTTCCGGGAGAGTGGCTTTATTTGAAAGTGTAGTTTAGAGGAATGAGTGTTACTTTGTTATACTAAATCCTGTTTACTATCTGGACGGAGTACCATATCAGCTTACCAACTCTTTGAGACTAAGAAAAAGTTCCCTGCCTCCGGATCCCCGCTGAAGAAAGTGCTTGAAACTCTAGGAAATGGAGGATTTTGCTTTTGCCTTTTTCTTTATTTGTAAGAGCCCCCAAAAGAGCTTAGAAAGATAGTCCTCCCTTGCTTTATTGCAAACAAGTAAACCAAACAAAACCCAACAAGAACATGATTGCTACAGAAACCCATTTATCCTTACAAAATGGGCTATTTAGTTGGGACAACAAATTTTAACTTTCATCTTCAAATACTTTGAAAATTTTGGATATAAAATAAATATTACATAAAAGTATGATAAGAGGTGAAGTAAGAAAAAATTACATTGATATTCACTACATACTTTTATCATGCTTAAATCAAAACTTGTAAATGTTATCCAGGTATTCAAAACGTTCTCACAAGAACTTTCAAGTTTTAACTTTTAGCTTTTGATAAATATATATGTAATGATTTTTAGAAGATAACACCAGTTTTACTTCTTAATCACGGTCGAGAAGTTTAGAGAGATATTGCTGGGATACAATTAGGATGTGTAACAGATGGATAGAATTTGGAAAACCACGAATAGTTGGATATTCATCACATAGCTTTATTTTCTTGAACAATAATTTCTCAAAACTAATTGTTAATTCACACATCAGTATGGGTGCGACAAACACCATACGTTTTATGTACAATTTATAACATGTAGAAACAACAGACAATACAGCTAAGTGATCAGACACGCTCTAGCAGGGCAATAACGAATAGAAAAGTAACTGCGTATTTCGGCAAAGGGCTACATAATATAATAGTCGAATCCTTTGCTTAAGTTCTGAACAGCAACTGGACAAGATCATACGGCAATGCAGATGACATATTGGGGTTAGTTTTTTAAGTGACGCAGTTTAGATTCCAGAAAGGGGTCGTAGCTAAATTATAGTAACTTTGTGTTTCTTATTTTTTATCTTACATATACATATGTAATATTAAATAGTTTTCCGATGATGGATGCTAAAGATGAAAGCTGATTCATGAAGAAGTCGCTGCATCACAATCAAAGCTAGATGTTGCACGAAGAAGGCAGTTCTGGCCAGTTTAACACTTCCCTATTCTTCTTGACAAAGAATTTTTAACATGAAATATATACAGCTTAATGCGTGCAACCTGATATCTCTTAAGTGATCATTCGTGCTATTTTTATACTTTTATGAAGCGTTATGTAAGTACTTGAGTTAATAGTTTTATATAGAAGACATGTGATAAAGTTAATTTTGAAATGGCACTGTTTAAAGAGATTTATTATTAGCATGTGATTATTTTTTGTATAGAACGGGAAACAACTAAATTAAAAAGAATAATTAAGGGACTAATGCGAATTGAAAACAGTACTTTATCTCGCATGTGACACAAATATATAAGAGTCAACATATCAGTTATTGAATTTCAGAAAAGATATTAATATAATTACCTGTACCATAGTTAATATCGTTTTTCCTTTCTAGAAAAATATTAGCAAATATTCTTAGCTGAATAACTTTAGTTTACGTAAAATTCACGATTGTGCGTAAATGATTACAAGCTATCATTATCTATATCATACTTTATAATAGCTATATTGTAAAGCTTTTATTTACTTTTCCCCCCTCTCCTTGATGCTTCATTTTTATTATCCCAATAGTTTCTACTTCGTTGCTTGCATCATCGATGATAAAGCGTCTATGGCTGGCTGTCTTCCGTTTTTTTAACCCTGTCGTTGCATACATTCTTTACTGCGGTTTGAAAAGCGTTACCTTTATACAAGGTAAACTGCTAGATCTCAGGGTTATTGCCACTAGATGTAACATGAGATTTTTAATTTAATTTTCAAATTAAAACTTTAGCCACCTTAACTAATTGAGCAATTCAAATGTAACTAAGATGTATATTTGTTTTCTTTTTAATAATATCTCGACTTTAACGTAAAATATATCTAATTAATATGAAATATGTATATCTAACTTATAATTTTTATATACACTGCATTATTACTTTAATTAACAAAAATTATTTCTAATACTCTATTATATATACATAGACACATGGAGTAATCATTTGCTCGCCATCTAATATTATATTTTCTAGTTTAGTTCAGACTTCAATTACAGCATTTGCAATAAAGAAAAAAGTACCATATTAATAATATCTCTAAGTAATGTAATTTATAATAAATCTAGTCCATATGATTTATAACTGCCAAACTTACAATACGATTATAAAAATTTTCACCTATACTGCAATTAATGAAACATACTTTCACTGCCTTTATTAGACAATTTTCATTTCATTACTATGTTTTCAACACAATATTTCAATATTATTTCAAGTTCTTCAGGAAATAAATTCCTCTCAATTGAATTTATCAAGCATCTAAAACTACACTTTTTAATTTAATGTTTTTACTTACAACTTTTATTTACTTTATTATTGCTGGATTATCATTAGTATTATTTAGTTTACAGCAAAACACACGTGGATTAGTAGTCTAAGAGGGAGAATACCTTTGTGAAGGATGTTGTAAGAGAAACGGTTTGACTTTGTTTTAGTTATGGCAAAGCATGAGCTATCTGTTTATTCCAGGGCTATCAAAGTACCCTAGGGCTATCTGCCTAAGCGCAGGGATGCCTTCGTGAAGGACTTTTTAAGGGAAACTGTCTCGTATACTCATTACACATGGGGAAAACCCCGAAAATACTCATACAGCCATCCCGTTCACCTGGCATCAAACCCAAGTCGGAACTACCAGTGTTCAGACATTTTATTGCTCGGCAGCTGGTGGGCTGTGTGGAGACTACTGTGGTGTCTCAAGGAACGGAAGTATTTTTCGCGCAGCTGACTTTAAGGAGGCAGAACTTTTTCGCATGCAGTGGGTTAGTTTTTCTCCATTTTTCGCGCAATTGGTCTATACTGTTTTAGGCTATTTCAGGGTATGAACAATTATTACATAAACTGTATTTAATAATCAGTAAAAAGTAATAAGAAATTAAGTTTTTACCCAGAGAAGCTAAAATTCTGAATAATAGAGTAACTGGTTGTTTTCCAGCTCTACATTTCACAAACAGGTTAGGAAGAATTAAATGTTCAAGAATATATTATTAATTTTAAACTAAAGTGTAAAATTTATAAAATGCTACATTCTTTTCATGTTAAGAGTTAAGGATTACGAGCTTCACTATTCAAACAACGAAAAAAACAAATTTTTAATAATGATTTAGCCTGATTACCAAGGAAAGATACCATTTTTCACTGCGTTCGAGATCTTCTAGTACCTAAAATGTAAAGAAATATTCTTATGTAAAATGTAAAATACGGCTTAAAAATTTACATTGACGTAGATTTTAAAATCTTTAATTAATTAAAACTCTGCTTTAAATAAATCTAGAAATCGATAAATTATTATTTTTAAAATCTACGCTAATCTAAATTTTTTTCTTCAGGGGCCCTAATTTTACGTAAACTGAGTTATTAAATTTTTTACGCTGTAATGTTATAAGTATCAAGAATCTGTTTATATTCAGATTACATTTGATACAAAACCTCTTCCAGAACATGTTATAAAAATGAATATTGTTGGGGTTTAGGAGTAACGAAGTAAGTTGCAGGGGAATTTTTCAAGTGTTCACTCTTTTACACTGCAAGACAACTAATTTACGACAACTTACAGATGGAATCTAAAGTAACCAGCTACAATTTGTTTCTTCATTAATTACAAAATGAAATGAAAACGTGTCAGATAAATTTGCCAACATGGTTTAAAAACATGTCATGGTCACCATATGTTTTTTTTTTTAAGTAGATAAAGAAGATATTTGCTGGTACTTAGTCATGTTAGAAACTTACCTGGTGGTGTCTTTCTAGGCAGCCTGTTGGAATTATCCAGAGGTATCCCGAAAATAGGCCCTGGTGTAAGTAGGATAGTGTGTACCGGTGGCGACCGCGAAGACCAATGCAATGCGTCTCGCGTTGTTGCCGTTTAGGGCCACTGAGCGCCATAATTCTTTACTCGGCGATGAGATTACATTTTGCACACGCGCATTCTCGAAATCGACACATCCGCTTATGACCCTTGAGCCATGATATTACGCCGTGATTACGACACCGGGCACATTTCGGCCGCCGAACTCCTCTGCCGAGATCGGGGGACTCCATCCGCACGGGTTCACAGCACGGGTTCTCCGTACGGAACCCGTTCTCCGCATGGGTTCCGTACAGAAAGAAGCCCTGGAAAGAAGAAACAGAACTCATTCAGATTCCGGCTGAACGACAGAAAAATTTAATGTTGAGTTGCAGAGTTTAAGTAACTAATATCTCGTTTCCTTCTCCAAGACAATATAAATATCATTCTATTTTTTCACTTCTGATTAAAAAGGATTCACTTCCATTTGCTGGTATTTCGGAAGTCATGAAAATAACACATAGTAAACGATAAGATAATCACAACAACTGAAACACTGCACCAGGCTGTTTATCATAAAATATTAGAAAAAAATCTTGTTACTGTATTACATAATTAACTATTAACATTTGAAAAATTCTTCAGAAGGGACATTGGAAGCAATTATTTTGAAATACTTCAGAATTTTTTCCAAGGGGTATAGTACGATATGTTTGTTGTACAGTTCCACTTGATGAAGACTTTAGGCTTTGAACTACAAAGCATAAGTATTATTTGTACAATTAGGAATCTATACCAATTTCTAGACATCTTTTCTTATTACGCAAGGATTTATTTTCGAGCAAAAGTAGTCGAGAATATCCTTAATAAAATACAAAAGTTGAATACAAGAAACTGAGCCCATGAAGGAAAAAAAAAAAAAAAAAGAATAACTTGTAGTTAAAACATTTTCCCAAACTTTCATTTCGAGAAATTTCACATATGCAACTACTATCTTTGGGAGTTTACATATACCCTTTCGAGAATCATACCCATTCTTAATTTAACCAGAATTTATAGAATTTTTAATAATTCGTTTTCTAAGAGGGTATTAGTGAGACTTATGAAATTTTCTGAACTATATATACACCATATTTAATCTACCCAGTTTTATAATGTTTGCATTTTCAAGGTTTTTTTATTAATATTTAAAATATTAATTTTTTTAAAGATACTTGTTTTTAAATACTTTCAATTTATTTTTAAAAAATTCTTAAAAAGGAAATTAAGGATGCATATGTTGAATATCTAGTAATGTGTGTTATTATTAGAATATTCGCCTGCTATAATTGGTCTGACTACGTCAGACAAGTGAGCATAAGCTACAACAACATATATAGCTCTAGCAGCAATGAAACACAATTTATTGTAATGAAAATAAAGTGCAATTTTTAATAGACCTTATTGTGTCTTTTATATGCCGGTAAAATGCAACTGAATAAATTTTTATCGCAGCAAGGTAATTCAACATAAAAAGCAAGTATCTTATAAGGTATTTCTACCGCTTTCCAAGCGTCCTTCGTGGTGCAGTGGTTCTGCACACTGGGCGGTATTCCAGAGGTCCGTGGTTCGATTCCCGGCGAAGGCGTTGTTAACTTTTCATCTTGGCTGTTAAAAAAAAAAAAAAAAAAAAAAAAAAAATCCTAATGTCTCTACAGTGGCGCCCGAACTAAAAGGTTGTGATGATGATCTCACACCCAGGATTTGGCGACTAGCTTCCCTAAAACTTAGTCGCCTTTAAAAAGGGAGTATATAAGGTATTTCTACCGCTTTCCAAGGGTCCTTCGTGGTGTATTGGTTCTGCACACTGGGCCGGTATTCCAGAGGTCCGTGGTTCGATTCCCGGCGAAGGCGTTGTTAATTTTTCATCTTGGCTGCTTCCAAAAAAAATATCCTAATGTCTCTACAATCTATTTAGATTGCAGAGGCACAGAGCACAAGAAAAATCGGAGCCTCTTAGTTTTGGTTGCAGATTTGACACATGAAAATAAAAGGAAGCGCACGAAAGAGTAAATTTGCTCCGCAGAACTAAATGAAATGCATGAAATTATAAGAAATAAGATATTTGCGTAAACATTCAGGCTGAAAGTCATATTATTAGCACTTTCTATTTTTCTTTTTCTTTTCTTTCTTTCTTTTTGAACTCCGTTAAGGAGTTTAAGTGATTAAAGTATTTCTTCATAAGATCTTTTCTCTTTCATTCAGTTTCAAATGCAATGTTTCAGCTGGGCAAACGTAATTCTATTTTAAGATAGCTTAAAACTTGCGTAGATTCAAAATTATTTATTATCTCAGCTAACGTTAATTAAAAACTTAGTTTAAAAAATTATGTAACTTGTTATATAACAGCACTCAAATGTAACTTCCCCAGTCTGAACTACGGAGCGGTGATAAATGCACCGAAAGTGACACGTGAGCAGAATTTTGTGGACGCAGATTTTCATTTCTTTTACAAGGTGCTACGTCTCCACAAGAACGCAAAATATATTTCAAGGAAAGAGTTGTAAAAATATCCTTACAGTATGGTGTAACTTTGAAAAATAAATAAACAAGTAAAAGTTTTTTAATCCCTTATTGACAAAATGGAATTTGTGAAACAGAAAAAAAATGGATTTTGAAATTTTCAAATGGTTTTCGACAAGCTGATAGAAATCTAGTGCTAAAGCAAATTGCCCCTTTGGACTAAAAACGTTTAATAAAAGGATTTCTGCCTATGAATATAGGCACAAAGAGATACTGATATTATTTTAGGTGTTGCTGAAGGAAAAAAAATCTGCTTAAAAAATATCCATTAATTTAATTGCTTGCAAAGATTCTTTCCACGTAATTTCTCCCGAAACTTGATTTTAATTCTGCTCTTTTTATAAAAATTTAGGAAATAGTATCGAAGTCTAGATACAGTAATATAAATGGATAACCGGTACGGAAATCAGAATGATTGATCATTGAATTCATTATGTTTTCATAAAGGAATGTGCACGACACCCGTAGCACATAAACACGGCACCAGACTAATTGGAACAAATATTGATGGATATGGTAAAATCATCAAATACATCAAATCATCAAATACAACTTGTGAATCCATTGCTAATCTCACACAGCAATAGATTAGCAATGGATTCACAAGTTGTATATATGCTTTTCAGGTTTTTCTGGTCAAGTCAATTTTATAGGTTATTATTAGATTGTCCTTGGAAAGACTCCTACGCATTTTATTGAGTATAATATTGCATTACAGTAGCAATAGAAACATTTTTATTCTTAAACAAGAAAGCAATTTGTGTTCTTGAAAACTGGGTTTTCCCATTCTCTAACGCAAATAAATTTGATTTTTCTATTGGTATCCTTATTGCTTATTGGTCTGCATCAGATATCTAACAAACATTGGATGTGCCATCCAGCCGGGATAGTGGTTAGAGACCCTGACTACCGTACCAAAATGTCCCAGATTTGAATCCTGGAGAAGGCATAGATATTTGTAAATGTATTGTGTCTGTGCGCCATGAGGCAGATTATGTCGAAAGTCCTCTTGAGAGATTGATGGTAAGGGGTGGGAGACCCGGGGTGATCTTCAAACTTGGGGGCGGAACTGAGCAAAGTCGTACTTTCACTTGTATAGTGCAGAAGGCTTTTGCCAATGGACAGGCACAGTCTTCACTCCTGGCCACGATGAATTTCGTAAGTTCGGTCTGATTTCAGACAAGCGACATTAATCATAACTACAATAACATTGGACGTTAAATTCAATTTCAGGCTTTCGATTTTCCTTGAAAGACTTATTCTTTTTACAGCATTCCAAGCTCAGTTTTTTTAATTTTCATTTCTTCCAAGAACATTAATTACAGAAACTAAAGTTACATAAAGTAAAGTCATCCAAGAATCGTACATGCTATTGCTTGGCAATAAATCAAATCTGTAATGTAAATTGGTTCTAATCTATGTCCACAATATAGTACTTCGACTATGATTATAAAGTTAACTCTCAAACAATCTCTTCAATTTCATTCTTCAAACCTTTTCACTCTTTAAATTAAATTATTTTATTTGCTTTAAAAATATAATACTTCTTAAAAGTATAACGTGTAAAACTTCATAATTTGAACTAATAGCTAAGTATAATTTTTTGCGTTTCAGTGTTATCTTTATTAGCGGTTAGAATATCATCAGTACACATTAAATAGAATTTTTATTCTCTCTAAAAATGGAATAGATATAAATCAGTTTTATACTAAGTGAAGAAAATAAAAGTACTTGGTTAGTTTTTAGCAATTTTAAATTCAGCATTAAATCTCGCAACTTGTGTTAGTCAATAGGCAGATTTCCTTAATATAAAAATTTGGATTTCTTCAAGTTTTTATAATTTTCAGGCTTTCTTATACTTATTGTATGTTTCACAACAGGTACATGACTTTATCTTTTGTTTGAAATGCACTTCAGCATCAAAACTATAACTTTTTTGCCATTAATCATGATTTCTATTTTTCCAAGTTTCGTTCAAAGTTATAGTTTATATTAAAATGTCATTTTGAGCTGATTGCTTTTTCTAACCAGAAAATTTGCAAGTTTCCGGGTGTTATTTTGTCCAACCTTAATTTTTGTATGGGTAAGTTTCAGGAACTTTCTTTTACTCTTAAAGTTTTCGCATTTCACTCCGTGAATTATGCCTCCTTTATTTTTCAAACATTTTCCTTTTTTCTTATGGTATTTTTTTCATAGGTTTTTCCAATCTCCTTAATTCTCTGCTATTATTATGTCAAAGATTTCCTTTACGTTCTTTTCAGGTTTAATTATCATCTTGTTCTTAAATCTTCTTTTGTATCTATACATGATAATTTAAATACCCTAAATATGTTGAGTATTGTGTGTTTTAAAATCTCGATATATTTACAGTACTGTCATGTGAAATATAATAGTCATGTGAAATAATTACCAAAAGTGATGTCATTACCACTATAATCAATTACCACCATTCATGTGAAATATAGTGTTGTACCACTGCATATTA